TTCATTATTTTTTATTATTTAAGTCGTTTTATTGATGATCGAACAAAAAATAAAGCTCAAGATGGTGATGAACATAAACAAGCATCTGAATTTCGTTGGCCACGTGATACACTTCTTTCAGTTATATCAACATTTATTCATTTTTCTACTCAACGTTTAAAAGAGTTAACTAAATTAATTAATGATCCAACATTACGTATGCCAGAATTACTCGATGCTAAATCTCATACACGTCTTGCTGATATAGCACATACATTACTTAAATTAGGTGGTTATGATCCAATAACAATGTCATGTCGTGGTATACAAAATTATTTTCAAAAATTATTACCATGGACTAATTGGAGTCAGGAACAATTACGACCAGCATTAAATCTTTTATTAAGACGTATTGATAGAATGTTTTCAAAAATATGTAAAAAACCATTGACTAAAGTAAAATAGAAGAAAAGAAAAGAAAACGAACTATATGAATATTTTTTGTTTTTTAGCGTTGTTTTGATTGGGAAGCAACAGCAGGAATTTTAAATGGAATTTATTTAACTATTGATCGTCATCCATATATTGCTTATTTTCCTAATCTTAAAGTATAAATCTTAAAATTTAAAAAATAAAAATAAAGAAAATATTTTTTTTTTTTTTTTTATAAATTAGGCATTGGTTTCAGGATGTATTGCACTTGTATTAAATGAAAATGTATCAGAATCAAGTCATAGTGTACCACGTTTTGATACAGCTGCTTTTCCAAAAGAATTTTCTCGAGTTGTTATTAAACTTGTTGGAAGATATTTATTAGCTATTAAAGTAAATTAATAAATCAATATTAAATTGAATTATATTATTGTTTGTTTTACTTATTTTTTTAATATCTAGAATCAACCAAATTTAGAAGCATTAACTGGTAATAGTTGGTCATCTTCAAATGTACCATCATCAATAAATCATTTATTACATTTTTTTTTACCATTAATGTTTTGGGCTGGTAGTGGACGAAAAGATGCACCAAAACTTCATTCAATTGATATTTCATATATAATATTTATATTACTTAATGCACTTAAACCAATATCAAAACTTGCCACAGCTATGGCTGCACAAGGTGGACCTGGAAGTGGAGCTGGAGGACAAATAAGTAGTGGACCTAGTGCTGGTGGTGGAAAACAACATTTAACTATTGGTGAAGCTATTTTACAAAATAGTAGTTTTACACATAAATCTATGCGACAATTAAAAGATCTTTTACAAACAGCATCTTTATTAGGTAAGTTAATATTAATAATTGATAGGATCATCTTATTAAAGATAAAATCAAGTTAGAAATCATAAATAATCTCATGTTAGGACTTTATTTTTAATTCCAAACAGAGATAAATAAACTTTAACAATATGAAATATAAATCTAACAGAATATGAATGAGGACAAGGTCTCTATTCTATTTGCATCTAACTGTAAAGAAACTAAATGGAATAAATTTAGTTTATTCTGGACCTCTCATCGATCGATTCTTACATATATTCTTTCTAAGTATATTAATGAATTACTTAATAATGTATCTTATAAAGATTGTAAGTCATTTTTATTACATGTAAAAATCGATTTTTTAATTGTTTATACATGATGATAATAATTTGAAAATATAAAAAATCATAATTCTATTGTTTTTGCAGGTTTAAAAGTTTTAATTATTGGTTTTTCTAAACAATTAAAACGTGAATGGCGACGAATAGCTCAATCAATAAAATTAATGTGTAATAAACAATCGAATGTATCATCAATTCTTTTATCATTTATTGATTTTATTGTTTCATATAAAACTCCAATATTTGTTATTCTTCGGCCATTTCTTTTTCATTATGTAATATATTTTTAATAAATAAATTTATTATTTATATTATTTGTTTGTTTTTTTCTTGTATAGATTTATTCAATTTCATCGGATAATGATCGTGATTATGAAATGATTACAAATATTCAACAAAAACTTATTTTTGATAAAATAACACCAGCAAAATCAACAGGAGAAATTTTAAATGGATTAATGCAAGAATTAAATCATTTAAAAGCTGAATTAACAGGTAAGCATTCTTTTTTTTTTATTTAAATAAAATAATAATTGATAACAAAAAAAAAATATATATATATATATCCAAAAATTCTGTAGCCGTATTAATAACGACTACACAAGAAATGAGTCGGACGAGTTCAGCTGGTGGAAAAAAGAGAATTATTTTATCGAGAACACCACGACGAAGAAAACGTGATGATATTCCTTTAGTTCGTCTATCATCATCTGGTTGGTTCTTTTTCTTTTTGCACGAATTTTCGATTGAAGTTAAATAAAAAAAGAGCACGTTTGACTATAGAGCATGAGCACCTTGTTTTTTCGAAATTTATTTTTCTAACAAAACCATGTATCTATTTATTTTTGTTTTTCATTTTTTATTTAGACGAATCAAAATCATTATTTCCTTATGAAACACGTCCAGTAGGTACTGAAAAAGTGCGATTTGATACTGAAGCACTTGAACAAATGAAAGATCGTGATGGTGGTACAGGTACATCTGCTGCTACAACTGATGGACGATCGGCTGGTAGTCGATTAACAAATACTTATCGTATTCGACAACAACAATCAAGTGATAGTAGCTTAAATGCATCACCAAAAAAGAAAACAGAAAAAATTCGAGCTAAAGAAGCATTAGATATACTTGAAACATATCTGGCTCGTTATAGAATTCGATCAGGCGGTAAGATTTTGTCTTTAAATATATTATTATTCAACTTATAAAAAAACAAAGATTAATATCTATCAAAGGATTTACATGCTTTACTGTTGATTGATGAATTTCGAAGAAGATAGGGTATGCGTGTGGATCTGAGTCTTTTCTATATTCACATTCTGATGGTCGCTATGACTGCTCATTTTTCTTCTTCCAAATCATCAATGAAAAGTAATTACTTATGTAAGAAAAACACTACTTCGACTATATTGTTTATGTCACCAATGGATAATCAATCATGCAAATGATGTCAAAGATTGACATTGTCATTTTGAGACATAACTCCGTATGATTTAACTAAAACAGGCGAAAAAAAAAATCATCCTTGAATATGTCTGGAAACTAATTTAATTAGAAAAAAACCTAGTCGATTAAATACAAATTTGTTATCTAGAAAATATATTCAATTTGATGTAATTTTGATTAAAATTGTTATTGAATTAATAGCAAATAAATCTATTGTTTCTTTTGTTTTTCTTTGTAAATATTCTTTTTTTAATAATTCTTTTTTATTTTAATTAGCTGAAATAGCTGATATACCAATAAAATGGACAAGAGATTTAACATTAAATCATCCTTTAGCAACAACAGATGAACCAACAACTCCTATTCTATCTGGTAAATTGCATTAACTATATCATATCTTTTATCAAAAAAACAAAAACCTATTTTCTATAATAGAAAGTTCACCTTTACAATCATCATCAAATCAAAATCAACCTAGTCAATTGTCACGTTCAATTACCGTTGCTGGTGATCGAAGTCCATCAACAAATGATAGATTAACACGACATTATAATAGACTGGAAGAAACTGATATTGATCAATCAACAACAACAAAAGAAGGTGCACATAAGTTACGTACATTTCGTGGTCGAAAACGGGATACTGCACATTTCGATAAATCTCGATTAACAAAAGGTTTAATGCGATCACATGTAAGTTTCTTTTCTTTTTTTTTTGTTTTTAAATTTTACATTTGATCAATTCTCGTTTGTCCTATAGATATCAAGTGAACCAGTTATGACATATGATGCTACAAAAGAAATGAATGATATATTTCGACCATCTAGGTAAACGAAATATTTCTTTTTTTTTAAATAATTAAATTTATCTTTTTCTAAATGGTTATTTTATTTTAATTTACTCTTCCAGTTGAATGAGAAAAAGAGATCGAGAGTAGGTCGATCTTTTTTTATTTTTGTTTTTATTTTTATTTTTATTCTATCTTCCTCATAATACTCGTTTTTTTTTTGCTATCCTTACCTAATCGCATGGAGAACGAAATACATAAATATACCTGCTTTGCATGATAAATCCGTAATATTTCTTAGAGGGAATGAATAGTTCAATTGATACAATTTATTACGAGTTATCATCTTTGTCCTTTTTTTTCCCATTTATCTTATATATATATATTGATATACATATTGATCATATTTATTGTATTTAGACAAGCCAATAAACAAGATCTTACTTCAGTAACTAATGAAAAAACTTCTGATTTTATTGATACACGTGCTTCCAATGATCAAAGTGTACTTGCTTCTTTTTTTAATAATAATATCAATGAACAAATACCTTCGTCTTCTTCTATTCCTATGACAACAATTCTTCCAATGCAAACAGAATCACATACAGAAGTATGGATATCACGTTTACCTAATACACCATCTGTAACTGAAGCCGACTATGAATCTCAAGTTTGAGCTTGTTCTCAGGTCATTTGTTCACTTTTTTTTTCTCTCAATCACTTTCTTTTTCTGTTCAAATGATTTTTAACAAGTCTAAAGACAAACAAAAAAATATATATATAAATAAAGAATTATTTTTAATTTAAATATGTATTTTGTTCGTTATTATCTGGCTCTTTTTTTTTTCTTTCGTTTTTTCTTTCTAATCTCGACGCTTTCTTTTTCTTCCTGGCTTGTAATTTCTAATATATAATAAATAATAATAAATATTGAATAGATAATCATAAATTAAGATTTACTTTATGAATCTGATAATCTTACTTGAAAGAAAAAGAATATCATTAATTGTTCTTCTTCAACTCTATGTGTAATCCTGATCGATTACATTTTTTTTGTATCATAAAGAAAAAAAGAAATTTTATTCTATTCTGCTTTTCTTTTTTTCCTTAAAGTATGGTACTTTAATTTCATTAAC